GTCGATTCCCAGGCCTCCAGTACCTCCCGAGCGCTTGTTTCCCCATGGCCACGAATGCCTTGGGGGATCATAAGGGTTGTAAGTGGTGAGTTGCTTCCCTTAGCTGAATCCATTGCATGTGAGCAGGCATGGTCATATCTAGGCGAACTACTTCCTTTCCCACAACCTGCTTACCTCACTGCCTGAGTGGATTGGCTCATAACCCGCCAAGATAAGCAACATGCAACTCACTTCCCCATCCCTTCCATAGTTTCTGGACGTTGTTGTTTTGTTGGCCACGGGGAGGGGGAGGGATCATTTTAGTACAAGTCTCGACTTCGGGCCAATCCATGGATGTGACTTTTGTAGGTGACCTTGGGAGTGGTTTCCAGTTTTACTTCAGTACTATGGGCAACACCTTGGACATCCAACCCAGTCGACCGGATGTGTTCAATTTCTACTTTTCAGCTTTGGCTCCCAAGCGGTTCACCTGTAGTGCTAGAGACAGCCCAGTTGATTTAGCGCAGCCCCTGAGTGATGTGCATGCGGGGGGGAACCCGTTTTTCAGTGAATCCGGATCACTTTGATCGCCACAATTCGCCAGATTCATTCATGAGGGACTGTCGTTTTGAAAGATGGAATGTCAAAAGCTTGGATTCAGACCCCTTTTGAAGGGCGTGGATTCAACCCCTGTTTTAGGTGGGCCCGCGGGGTTGCTTCAACTCACTTCCTCACTTGGACTTGGTCACTTCAGGGGAAGAACCATGTTCAGGGCAAGCAACAAATTGAACATGTGAGGGCCCTGTGGACGTCATTTGGGTTAGGACTCCTGCCCACCACCTGTTGAGGCGGTGTCCCGGTGTCCGATTCATGGCCGTGTGCCTCAGCACTTGCCGCAGGACCTGTTCAAGCGTGAAACCGCTTTTATGTAAGTGGCCATGAGCCTCAAGAGTAGTCTGTGACCATGTAGATCATGTCCGAAGCATGTCTTGCCAGCGGCCCTTCTTTTCAGAAAACCGGCGTTCACCCCCAGAAGGAAGCTGCAGGTTGTGGTTTAAGAATTGAACAGCATGAGGAGGCACCGACCTAGGAGAAAGCGAGCCGCCACTTCCATTTCTCTCCAAGGCTCTGGGATTGATGTTGAGTTCGGGGCCCGAAATGGAGGACATCACAAGATTCATGTCCACCAACCCACTTTTGAGGTGGTTACTCCTAAGTGTCATGGCCCTATGGACCCGCGGTGCTTTTCAGGATTCAGCTTTCGACCCGTCCCAGCCAGTCTGTCACCAACATCAAGTCTCCAGGCCATGCGGCCACACGCGCCTCGCGCGAGGGAAAGCATGGCTGGAGGAAAAGTGTGGCATGGGAAGCGTGCGGCGGCTGCGTATTCTTTCAAGGGTTTTGAGGCTTCAGGCTGTTTTGGCCTCAGAAGCTGCTTTCCCAGGGCCTTCTACAACAGGAGCAGCGCACACTTTTCACTCTGGGTTCTACTCCCAGTAGCATCAGGGCACGGCTGACATGCACCTCACTGTAGCCGCGTTTGGTTAAGAAAAGTCAGCAGCATGTTGAGACCGTCTTGTCCTTTGGCTGAACTGAAGTATTTCTTTACCCCGCTTTGCCCCTCCCCAGCCAGAAGGAAACGCAGGCACCCTTCGGACGTTTTCTTGCAAGGCGCTGCCAATATTGCTCTGAAGCCCAGTACCAAGAGTTGAGTACGAGTAGCTCGCATCTCCGAACTATTCCAAGACGAGAATCTAGTCAAGGGCATGTGAAGCACTGAGACTTCGTGTACCGGGAGGACCGCTCCAGTCTCGACAGGTATGGTGACAGCTCGAATCCCACCCCGCAAGACCACGTTTTTTTTATGGGCCGGAGTGTGATCAACACCCACTCAGCAACAGTGTTTCAAGTTGAAACAGTCAAGGACAGCCTTTGGGCTTTTACGGGATCCTCGGCATTGCTCAGGGTTTTCTTGAGGCTCCTTGCAATTCACCTGTGGAAGAGCGCTGGTTCGGTTTATTCTAGGGGTACTTCCCCCATTCTTTCCAAGGATCCTTCTTCCTAGAACACCTCCAAGGACCTCATAAATCTAGGGGAAGCTTCCCCATTCTTTCCAACCATCGTTCTTTTCAAGAACTTGCCGTTTTCCCTGGATGTCTGGATTGCAAGCGAGACAGAGACACCGGAACCCGAGGATTGCTGTGGCCCCGAACCGTTTTCGGCCTGAATCCCTGGTTGTGGGTGGGGTCTAGTCCGCCTGGACTTAGGCTCTGGTGTTTGTGCTTGAAACTCGGGTGAAAAAATATGGGTCAATTTGTTGGCGTGCCCTTTTTTGAGGCTTAGAAGGAAACCGAAGGCCTACATTGCTCCGGGAGACTTGTCGCGTGGTGAGCTTTGCCTTTGCCCACAGAACGGGGACTTACCATTGCTTTGGTGGGTTAGAACCATGGTTGCCAGCCTAGCGATGTCCCGGAGCATCTAAGTTCAGACCGCAGTTGGGGCGGTCTGCGCTTGCAGACCAACCCGTGTATCGCGCTGGAGCGGCGTTACCAGGTAGGTTGCGTCCTCCGTCCCAGTTCGACACCCTTGAACTCCTTTTCTTCCATTTGAGTCCTTACAAAAGCGCCCCCGTCCCCCCGTTTTCCTCAGTTCGACCCGAGGTCTCATGTTTTGGGAAAAGATCGTTGTCCTTGTTTCCGCTGTTCTCTTGCCTGCTTGGTTGGCAAACCTTGCTCGTTCGATCATTTGAGGCTTTGGCTGTTCAAAGACATAGGTTTGCTGCTGTTTCACCAGCCACCATGCATTTCCTACGGCATCAACAGATGCGAAGTGAAGACACGGTTGATAGCTGCCTAGATGAATTAGCTGCGCCAGACAGCAAAGCAAATAATTGTGTCATTCCAACCGCAAACGCTCCACTAGCGAGCTTTTGAGAAGTTGCCATGTCGGACTACTACAAGGGCCAGCGCCGGTTCGCACTGGGAGGCGCGAATCAGATGCGAGAAGCATGCGTTTTTGTTGTGAGGTGGCCTTTGACATACCTAGGTCCCCGAGCTAGGTGCCCTTTCACCCTTTTTGGGGAGGGTTCTCCTACCAAAATAGACTACCGAAAAAAAGGGTACCCTTATTCTAACCTCTCTTCTGGAGGACCTAATACTGTGAATGGACAAAATCTAGCACCAGCTCTGTCTCACTCCTCGGAATTCCATCACAATTGCAGGATGCCGCCCATCCACAGTCACAGTATGGAGCATGAAGAGCTTCTTTTGCTAGCGAACGGAAATGTGTGCTAGCTCAGTTCAAGTGGATTAATGACAAGCGTCGCACGTGAACGTTTTCTTTTCCCCTGGTCCGCCTGATTCACTCACAGAGCCCTCTCAATCGTTTCAGCCTTCCGAATCTAGCTGCAACCTCGTCACTCCGAGTTCCCACGATATCTTTCTCTCCACTTTCGAACAACTGGGCTGGGCCGCTTCCGAAAAGAACCTCGCTTGCACCAGAGCGAATCAACCTTTTCACCTTTGACATGTTCCACCATTTGTCCTCTTCGATGCTTTCCTGTTTGGCCGCAAACTGCTGCGTACCCTCCAAGCGTGGAAGTGCACCACACCTTTTTGAAGACTCTCTCCTTCTCAGCTCCTTCGGGTGAGGATGTGGCGAGGACTCCCAAGTCGTTACATCTACCTTACGTCGCCAAAACAAAATCGAAAGAAAGCCAAACAAAACACAGAAGAAAGAAAACCGGAAAGTCGAAGTCAAAAGGGGCCATGTTTTTCAAGGGAAAGCCAAAGGCAAGCCGTTGGTGACGTCGGTTCTCAGCTGCCAACGCTTCGAAAGACTCGCAGCTTCGCTTGCGCGCGGAAGCGCAGGCAAGGGCTGGACGGTAGTTCTGGGCACCGTGGTGTCCCTGAGCTACATCAGGCGGGAGGTCCCTGCAAGAGGTTCATACTGTGGATGGTTGCGAAATCCAAACCCCGCAGCACCTATGAAACCCTGGAATGATGATTCCTCTGTAAAACCCAAACAAACAATGGTTTCCTATTGTTCATGATTCACAATGTTGACCCAGGATCTAAGTAGAACCCGTCCCATCATTAGGGCGTGTTTCCTCTAAACGTGATGAATCCCCACTAAAAGGGGATATTAATCAACCAGGGGTTTAGTAATCCGGGGTTAGCATTTCTGGGTCCCTGCAAAGTTGCACCCCTCAGCTCTGGTTTTACTTGTCCTCCAGATGTCTGCCAGGATGGATCTCGTTTCTATTTTAGACGTTGAGGTTCACCAAAAAATATCGCCCAGAGTCCAACCTATGAATTCTGGGTTGGGGCGCTGAGGTGGCCCACTTTCCATGAGCCAAGGGAGTCCAGAAATCCCGGAACTGGATGCAGCGGACTTGGATCTTGGGCGCCCCTCGGGAGCTCGACTCACTTTGGGATTTTGGGAGGGCCCAAAACCAAGGGGTCCACGGTGACGAAAGGAGCCGGCCAGGCGGGGTTCGGGTTGAGAGGTTGCATGCCAGACTTCAGGTGGTGAGAAGCAGCATGCACAAAACCTTTGGAGGCAGTGCTTGGCGCTGCGAGTCTCGAGCACTCCAACTACGGGGAGATGCGGGTCCAAGTGGCCTTAGAGGCTTCCATTTGCTGAAACGAATACATGTTATCTTCCCTTGTTGGTTTTTAAGGGAATCGATTTCACTACCGGAAAGTGTTTTGTGTTTTTTTTTCCCCAGGGGCAACAGCAAATGGAAGGTTGACCAGTTCCTGCTTAGGTATCGAGGGATCCTTGGGCAAGGACTCGCCACATTTCCACCTTCGCCCTGAGAGGAGGGTGGTTCGCTCTCGAGTCGCTTGGCTCATAGCAGCTACGCCACCTGCATCAACTTCAGGCCAGCACAGCAACGAAAAAGCACACGGCTCCAACAAAACCATACTCTTTGAGGTGCTTTGTGGGTTTGATGCTCAAAGAAATCCCTCCGAGATCCTGTCGGTTTGTGCCCCAGCCTTCCAACCCCACCACCCGCCATGGCGCTGGCGCTGGCCCTCGCGGCCCTCGCGGCCCTCGCGCCGCTGGCCGCGGCGACCGCGGCGGATGCGCCGGACGCGGTGCCGGCACTGCCCGGGGTGGTGAGTCTGAAGCCAGGGGCCCAGTGGAACCCCGGGAGAGCGGCCCAGCGGAGAGGGGATATTTGTCAGGGACCTGTGGGGCAGGTCGTATTGCTCCATGTTTTTGGTTGTTTGAATGGGGTTGTTTGGTTCTGTTGTTTTTTACATACTGATATGTTTAGTTGGTTGGTTGGTTGGTTGGCTCTATTGTTTTTAGCGTTTCAGTTGTTTGTTGGTTTCTTGATCGGTTGTTTGGTTCTGTTTTTATTAGATGCTGATTTGTTTAGTTGGTTGTTTGATTGGTTGGTTGGCTCTACTGTTTTTAGCGCTTGAGTTGTTTGGTTGGTTTGTTGGTTTCTTGATCGGGTGTTTGGTTCTGTTTTTGTTAGATGCTGATTTGTTTAGCTGGTTGGTTGATTGGTTGGTTGGCTTTGTTGTTTTTAGCGTTTGAATTGTTTAGTTGGTTGCGTGATCGGCTGTTTGGTTCGGTTGTTTTTAAATGGTGTTTTGTTTAGTTGGTTGATTGATTGGTTGGTTGGCTCTGCTGTTTGTTAGCGTATGAGTTTTTTTGCTTGGCTAGTTGGTTGCTTGATCGGTTGTTTGGTTCTGTTAGTTTTAGATGCTGATTTGTTTAGTGGGTTGCTTGATTGGTTGGTTGGCTCTGTTGTTTTTGGCGGTAGAGTTTTTTTCAGTTGGTTAGTTGGTTGCTGGATTTTACATGCTGATTTGTTTAGTTGAGTGTTTAATTCGTTGGTGTGCGCTGTTGTTTTTTAGCGTTTTAGTTTTTTAGTTGGTTAGTTGGTCGCTGGATTGGGGTTGCTGGGTTCTGTTGTTTTTAGATGCTGATTTGTTTAGTTGAGTGCTTGATTCGTTGGTTGGCGCTGTTGTTTTTTAGCGCTTGAGTTGTTTGGTTGCTTAGTTGGTTGCTGGATTGGTTGTTTGGTTCTGTTGTTTTTAGATGCTGTTGTTTAGTTGGTTGTTTGAGTGGTTGGTTGGCTCTGTTGTTTTTGGATGCTGATTTGTTTAGGTGAGTGTTTGATTCGTTGGTTGGCTCTGTTGTTTTTTAGCGTTTCAGTTTTTGGGTTGGTTAGTTGGTTGCTTCATCGGTTGTTTGGTTCTGTTATTTGTTAGATGCTGATTTGTTTAGTTGGTTGGTTGGCCTTGTGGTTTTGTGCAATTGAGTTGTTTAGTTGGTTAGTTGGTTGCTTGATCGGGTGTTTGGTTCTGTTGTTTTTGGATGCTGATTTGTTTAGGTGAGTGTTTGATTCGTTGGTTGGCTCTGTTGTTTTTTAGCGTTTGAGTTTTGGGTTGGTTAGTTGGTTGCTTCATCGGTTGTTTGGTTCTGTTATTTGTTAGATGCTGATTTGTTTAGTTGGTTGGTTGGCCTTGTGGTTTTGTGCAATTGAGTTGTTTAGTTGGTTAGTTGGTTGCTTGATCGGGTGTTTGGTTCTGTTGTTTTTGGATGCTGATTTGTTTAGGTGAGTGTTTGATTCGTTGGTTGGCTCTGTTGTTTTTTAGCGTTTGAGTTTTGGGTTGGTTAGTTGGTTGCTTCATCGGTTGTTTGGTTCTGTTATTTGTTAGATGCTGATTTGTTTAGTTGGTTGGTTGGCCTTGTGGTTTTGTGCAATTGAGTTGTTTAGTTGGTTAGTTGGTTGCTTGATCGGGTGTTTGGTTCTGTTTTTTTTAGATGCTGATTTGTTTAGTTGGTTGCTTGATTGGTTGGTTGGCTTTGTGGTTGTTTGCAATTGAGTTGTTTAGTTGGTTAGCTGGTTGCTTGATCGGTTGTTTGGTTCTGTTCGTTTTGGATGCTGATTTGTTCAGTTGGTTGCTTGATTGGTTGGTTGGCTCTTTTTTTTGCGGCGGAGTTTTTTAGGTGGGTTAGTTGGTTGCTGGTTTGGGGTTGTTGGGTTCTGTTGTTTTTAGATTTGATTCGTTGGTTAGTTGGTTGCTTGATAGGTTGTTTGGTTCTGGTAGTTTTAGATGCTGATTTGTTTACTTGGTTGCTTGATTGGTTGGTTGGCTCTGTTCTTTTTTTTAGCGTTTGAGTTTTTTAGTTGGTTAGTTGGTTGCATGATCGGTTGTTTCGTTCTGTTGTTGTTAGATGCAGATGTGCTTAGTTGGTTGGTTGATTGGCTGGTTGGTGATGTTTCTCAGATGTTTGATTGCTTGGTTGGCTTTGTTGTTTTGAGATGCTGATTTGTTTAGTTGGCTGTTTGATTGATTGGTTTCTCCATTGTTCTTCGATGTTGTTTTTTTCTTGGCTGCTCGATTGTTTGTTTGGTTCTGTTGTTTTTAGATGCCAATTATTTTAGTTGCTTGTTTGATTGGTTGTTTGGTCCTGTTGTTTTTAGATGCTTTTTTTTTTAGTTGCTTGTTTTGATTGGTTGTTTGGTTCTAGATGTTAGTTGGTTGGTTGATTGGTTGGTTGGTTCTGTTTCTTTCATGCTGGTTTTTGGTTGGTTGGTTGATTGCTTGGTTGGCTTTTCTTTTAGATTCTTGTTTGGTTGGTTGGTTGGTTGATAGCTTTGTTGGCTCTGTTGTTTTTAGATGCTGATTTGTTTAGTTGGCTGTTTGATTGATTAGATTCTTCATGGTTCTTCGATGTTGTTGATTTTCTTGGCTGCTCGATTGTTTGTTTGGTTCGGTTGTTTTTAGATGCTAATTAATTATTTAGTTGCTTGATTGATTGGTTGTTTGGTCCTGTTGTTTTTAGATGCTATTTTTTTTAGTTGCTTGTTTTGATTGGTTGTTTGGTTCTAGATGTTAGTTGGTTGGTTGATTGGTTGGTTGGCTCTGTTTCTTTCTTGGTTGGTTGATTGCTTGGTTGGCTCTGCTGTTGTTCAGTGTTTTTTGTTAGTTGGTTGTTTGATTGGTCATTTGCCTCTGTTGTTTGTAGATGTTGTTCTGTTGTTTGTTGTTGGTTGTGTGATTTGCTGGTTGGCTCTCTTTTTTTAGATTCTGTTTTGGTTGGTTGGTTGATAGCTTTGTTGGCTCTGTTGTTTTTAGATGCTGATTTGTTTAGTTGGCTGTTTGATTGATTAGTTTCTTCATTGTTCTTCGATGTTGTGTTTTTCTTGGCTGCTCGATTGTTTGTTTGGTTCTGTTGTTTTTAGATGCTAAATATGTTAGTTGCTTGTTTTGATTGGTTGTTTGGTTCTAGATGTTAGTTGATTGGTTGATTGGTTGGTTGGTTGGTTCTGTTTCTTTCATGCTGGTTTTTGGTTAGTTGGTTGATTGCTTGGTTGGCTCTGCTGTTGTTCAGTGTTTTTCTTAGTTTGCTGTTTGATTGGTCGTTTGGCTCTGTTTTTAGATGTTGTTGTTTGTTGTTGGTTGTGTCCAGTAGAAAGGGTTGCTTAGCTGTTTTGTAACGGAGCCAGGTCCAAAGTAAGATAGATGTCCACTTCCTTTTGTCCTGTTGGAGGGTCCCCTTTAGCCACTAAGGAGGCGTTCCTTTTTGGAGGGAGTTGCCTTTTTTGGGAGTGTCCCTTGAAAAAACTTGAAAAAAAAAGGGGGTGTGTTTTTCCCGTGGAAGTTAGAGGTCTGTGGGACAGGATGGGAGGCCAACACGTCAGATGTCTTTACCAGATTTTGTTTGTGTGTTGCGATTGTTGCAATCTCTGACACTGACATATTTGTTGCCTTCTAGTAGAAGGGACCAGTTGGTCAATGGGTGAGGCGTTGCCTTCTCGAGCCAAGACCAAGGCTTGCCCGGCCCTCTCTGGTCCTTTGTTGTTTTGAGACAAAGCTTTCACTTGTGCCAAACAACGTTTTTGCCAAACGTGTCCGTTACCTGTGCCTGAAAACCCAGGCCCACTCCAATTGCTTTCCTTTCTGAGGAACAAGCACTTCGCTGGCTTCGCGGAGGTGAATTCCACCACCGACAGGCTGAGTGAGATTTCGCCGTCCAATGCTTGGGCTACCGCGGGTGCCGATTATACAAGTCACCCAACCGCACGGCAAACTCAACTAAAGTTTGAGAGGTTCCTGGTTCCCTTGCTTGTAATGTTTAATTAGCGGCGGACTCAAAACTAGGAATGGGGCCCCCTGTTGGGAAGGGCTTAAGCCTACCCAAACAAGAAATGGATTCAAGCATGGTCAAAAGTTCCTTTGTCCACAGTAAGTCAGGATTTCCTGACGCGAAGCACAAACAAACGTCTTAATCCCAAGCCATCGTTCAATTTTCCCCAGCAGTGTCCCCGCGTACATGCCCAAAATGATGGTGTCATGAGCCCATGTTTGGGTCGGAAAGAGACTCCAGCGATGTTTGCAAGCTAATTAGCATTATGCCCTCCACTTCGCATGGTGCAGAATGTCGTCCATCATCATCCACCGCTCGGTGGATGGCCCAGGGGGGAATTTTGGGAAACAGCATTCCTTGGCTTCCTGGGTGCGATCAAGTAGCTCATGTTTAGTTTTGCCGAAAGGGGAATGTGCTGTTTAGCACCCATATCCTACTTAGAATCCATCGTTTGAGTCAACCAATCTCTCTTTATGCCAGTAGAGCCGGCTTTGCAAAGCCGGAGGGCAGAAGTTTGAAAAAGATAAAGATGCAGATGAGTCATCCTTATCATTGTTTTAATCGTGTTGTTTTCTCTTTTTCTATGTGTCATGTTGATTTTGTTGTTATTATTTCTTTATTTTCTTTCTTTTCTTTATTTTCTTTCCTGTATTTCTTTCTTTCTTTCTACCTCTCTTTCTTTCTACCTCTCTTTCTTTGCCTATCTATGTATTATCTATCTATCAACCAATCTACTAATCTGTCTATCAATCTGCCTGCCTGCCTACCTACCTACCTGCCTATCTTTTTTCCCATCTGCAAATCAACCAGTATGCTTTGTCTATACTACACCCATGCATATACATATATAGATCCAGCCATATCTAACTGCCTAACTATCTGTATAACTACCTGCGTATCCATATATCTATCTATACAATGTATATAATAATAATAATAATCATAATAATAATAATAATAATAATAATAATAATAATAATAATAACAATAACAATAACAAAAATAATAATAATAGTAATAATAATAATGATAATAATATATATATATATATATATGCATGTCCTTTCTCAAGCCGCAGCAAATCAGTTCCGGAGGGCTCTCTTCTTTTTGTCCGCGTGGCTTTCGTTTTGAGGGGCTCATCTGCGTTCGCAAGTAAGGCACTGTTACCTGTTCTGAAGCTCGGGGACGCGGGCACACGGCGGGCACGCATCTAATCTTTACTGTCTACTTCTATTTGCTGAAATCAATATGTTTGACTTTCCCCTGTTGGTTTTAAAGGGAATCTATCACTTCTGGAAATATTTATTTTTGTCCAGGGGCCTTAACCAAATAGAAGTCTACCTCTTTAAACCCATTGAATCTCACATTCTGCCTATCTACGCAGCTATCCTATCGAGGCTCTTTTCTGTCTATTGCTCTATCTAATCTCACATTCTATCTGTCCATTTGTCTACTTTTCTATCTTCTGTTGATCTATCTATTTGGCAATATGTGTTCTGTACGTATCCCTTGCTATCGACTTATGAAGTTTATCTCACTTTCTATCTGTCCTTTTTTTTCCTAGTCTCAGTTTCTACCTATGTATCTTCCTTTCCATCTACCCGTTTGCCTATCTGTCGAATCGTGCTTTCTGTTCTCGAACTTATGCTGTGCCTGCCACTAAATCCTCGCAATGTGCTGCGCCTTCCGTGCACCTGGGCCTTTCAAAAGTGCAGCGCCTGCCACGATTTCTGCAATGCGCTGTGCCTCTCACGACATCTACACCTCACCTGCCACGCAAACACAAGTCGCGAAAAGCGCAACAAAACCGTCTGTGCCGATGGGCCCGGCTCCGAGAGCTCCGAGCCGTCTCCGACCAGGCGTCAGGCCAACTTTCAAGCACCCGAAAAAGCTTGACGACCCTTGTCCTCCAACAACTCCCTTCCATAATGTCTGGGCGTTTCTTGAGATCTGTTTCATGGCAAACCAAAGTATCCTTAAACCACCCCAAAAAGGGATCCAACGCAAAAAACAGACCCTTGTTCCGTCTATTGGGATGATAACGTGGCTGCTCGCTAGTGTGACCTTGGCCCTTTAGACTTTTGGAAAGCAAATCAAATGGCTTTTTCCATCAAAGCCTACAAAAGGACAGACCTTTGACTCAGGGGAAGAGGGAAGAGCAACGCAGAGAACCTGCGTGCTCGTCCCGACCCACCTTGCTCGCACAAAGACTCCCGGGCCAGGCAGCTCTTCTATTGGTTTGTGGAGGCGGCGACGGGGAACACGCCTGGGGCAACTCAACCCAAGCGGGAAGCTGCTGGGTCGCGGGGGCCGGTGGTTTGGCTGGGTCGGGCAGCATTGGCAACATTGGGTGTGGGTCAAAATTAAACCACTAGTGGACAGGTGAGTCACTGGGCGCAGAGGTCTTGATTTGATCATGACGTTCTGCTGGCATTTCTTGCATGTTTTGATTGTTTAACTTGGTGCTCTTGTATGTGGGAAGTGGGAACGAAACAAGAGGTCAATCTTCTCCTCGCCTGCGGACAGTGGTGGTTCTAAAAAGGTATATCCAGCACCAAGAATTCGTTAATTATGACGACGCAGTCAGTTTTTAAGAAAATGCAACGAAGACTGACGTTGCCAAGCAAACAGCTTTGAGGGAAAACTGTACGAGCAACGCAGAACACTCCCAAAAACACAAACACAATGACAGAGTCCTGCGGAAGGCAGAGCAAAATCAAAGCACAAACACATCACCAAAGGCAAACGTAGACAAACCAAGAAGTCAAAAAGCATCGGCGACGCACTTTCGGCGTGTTTGCATCGGTTGACAATGGTCCAATGTTTTGTTCAATCTGAGTTTCGACCAAACGTGTATGTGTTGCAAATGGATTACAGCAGAGATACAATGTGCAGTCTCATTCCCTTGTCACCCTCATTTGAACACTTATTTGGCTGTTGTTGGAACAAGTGCTTCAGAGCGTCATTTGGGTGTGATTTTGTTGACAATGCTGTGTCGGGGAATTGTTTTAAAGGGAAACAACGGGGAAAACCGAGATTGCGGGGCACCCCAATTTCAACGCGGACATGTGTTAAAGTCCATACCGATCTCGAACTTGTAGAGAAACTAGTATGGAGGAGGTTGTCTGACATTGAGGACCCTTTCTCGTGGATGTTTTTTTGTCCGCCTTATTTGGGTTGAAAGTTCAGGGCTGTTGTGCAGAATGTGTCAGCGGCCTCTAAAGGTTTTTGTGTTCTGTTCATTAAATCCGAACTTGCTGAGTGCAATGGCGTATTCCCGGCAAAACCACCTGGCACGGATCCCGCCGTTTTGGGTTTGGTTCATCCGTTCATCCCATGTTGGGTCGGGGGAGGGGGTCTCTGTTGTTCAAGGACTTTCTGGTGGAGTGCAGTTTGTGCACCGAGCACTGGGATGCGGCTGATTAGGACCCTAAATGGGGAATTCTTTGTGGCGGCTGGGTCCCTGAATGTGTTGCAAACCACAAGTTACTCTGTGGGCAAGGCAAGAAATTGTTTATCTCAGGCAATAATCCAGTCATATCGTAATGTGTCATCGCGGGAGTTTGAGCAAGCACTGCTCACTTGTTTACATATGTTCTAGCTGCTAACACATGTTCTCCAGTTTGAATCCTTTCCAGGTCTAATGCGCGTACAGGGCTATGTATATATATATATAACATATATATATATATATACACATGTGTGTATGAGCATTTGTTGTATGCATATAAAGAGAGAGAGAGAGAGGGGGAGAGAGAGAGAGAGAGAGAGAGAGAGCGAGAGAGAGAGAGAGAGAAACATAGTGGAACCCCTAGGTATGATTGCTCTCTGTCAACAGATGACCAAATCACAAGTGTCGAAAATTAATTCCAGCTCCTTGTGTGCCCTTTGAGGGCCAATGCACTACCCTTGTGTCGATCAGGTAGGTGAACATGGAACCGAAAAATGGTTCCGTCAAGATGAGACTCCTTAAAGGAGGTTCAATGTGGATCTGCAGAGGAGTTCACCGGTTGAATGGGGTATATGACAAGAGTTGGGTGTCATTTTTTGAGGGTACCATTGTTAGATTGCTCGAAAGGAGAAACAAATGGAAACAATGGCGTGGTTCCCTCATAGGCTTTTCCCCAAAAAGGAAGCCTGAACAAAATGGTGGTTTCCTATTTGCTTGCCTTTCAACACCGAAAAGGGGTCCATTTTGAGAAGCCCCCATTTGGGCTGTCTTTTCTGGAGGGTGCCCGTTCTGCGGCTCTTTAAATTGGAAGCCAAAAAAATATCACCAGAATTGTTTGTCTTTTTGCGGTCCCCCATGTTTTGTTTCTGTGGCCCCTCCCCACCTCGTTGGGAGTGAGTTCTCCCGGTTGGCGGAGCCCGCGGAGCGCGCAGAGCGCGGAGCGAAGGAGCGCGTTTTTCTCCGAGGTGACCCCGAACCTGATTTGGATGAACGGCGGCCCGGGCGCCTCCAGCATCATGGGCTTGCTGGCCGGGAGGCTCAGTGGGGTGCGAGAGCTCTGCCCCAGTGGGGTTCGAGAGCTCTTCTTCCGTTCCTTTTTTGAGAAGAAAAAAACAACGGTAAAGCTCAAGAAACAAAAAATGCGCCGCTTTGCTTCGACAACAAAAAAGTTAGGGGGTTTTAGGGGAGGGGTATTTCCCGCAAAGATCAAGAAGCAAAGTGTGCGGATCCTGTGGCGTGTCGCCAGCTTCCCCGGCTTTTCGACTTCAAGATGGGGGTTCCAACCCCTTGTTGGTGATTTGTGTAAAGCGGTAAACCAAGGAAGCCAGCTGTTTTGAAGACCCCCATGTTGCGAACGCCCCCCCCCCCCCAAACCCCAAATCAATCCTCGCCATTGTGGGGCACGATTCCTGTTTGGAGGCCCCCCGCTTGATCTTAGGTGGAGAACCTCGGGCCCCTCACCATGAAGGACGGCAAGCTCGTGGAGAATGTGCATGCCTGGAGCAACGAGCACAACGCGCCTTCCAGGGAACGGTGGATTCTCTGGGGCGCAACGGCTATGAAGTTTTAACAGGGAACCACCTCAAAAGTGTTCAATGGAGATGAATCCCCACCAAATGTTGATGTCCACCAAAGGGCCAAAGCAGACTGTGTTGAGTTGATTGTTTTTTAAGGCACCCGTTTTGGGTCTTTGTGGGATTTAGATTCGCCCAAGCGTGCAGAAACCCACAGACCAGTTGTTTTCCGAGAAGTGAAAAAGAGAAGCAACTAGTGCATGGGGGGCTGTCGCACCCATTTTAGTGCCTCAGAGCCACGGAAAAGAGAGCCATAGCATGCCAATAGTGGTTATTTCGCCGTTCTGTGTTTTGCATCCCCTTGCTATGGCTCTAAGTCGGTGAGATACACGAGGGCAAGGTCTATCTTTGGAGGGCAAAACGCAGAGCACAAAGATCTAAAATCTCAGTGATGCGCCAACCTCAAAGACCTCTTCTGAAAGAAGCCTGCAGCCTGCTGTCACAAACCCCCGTGTATCACGAAAGTTTGCCCAAGAACTAGAGTTGTGACCGCGCATCACCCCGCCACTCCTCATCTCTCCTTCTCACATGAGGCTGCGGCCGCCTCAAGCTGCAATCCTTTTTGCTTCGATTTGCATAATAATATGTTTCATTTTCCCCTGTTGGTTTTAAAGGGAATCTGTCACTGGACATGTTTCTATTTGTTTCAGGGGTCGAAAGACCAAATGGAAGTTCGGGAGGTTCAAGTCTGCCCAGTTCGCCAAAAAAAAAGCGGCGCAGAGTTCGAAGTGACACTGGCGCGGCGCTAGGTGCTGATCATTGACAACCCGGTGGGCTCCGGCTTCAGCCCCTCGAACTGCGGGAGCCAAGGTTTGGTGTAGGGCTGCTCGCCACGGAAGCGGTGTACCGAAAAAAAACCCTTTGAAAGTGGAGGCAACCAATGGGGTATGGGTCAAAATTAAACCAACCGCAGGTTTGAGTCGTTTCCATTTACCAGGGCTCCATTTTGGGGTTACCCTAGTTTTGAGCCACGGCCGTTTCTTTATGTTCCATGTTCGCGCAAGACTTGGGGGAACACAATCCATTTTGGGGGAAGCTAACCGGGGCAAAACCGTGGACCATGGTAGGGGGTCTACATGGCTTCTTGCGGCCAAACATTAGACTCCGTTCGCAAGGGGCCAAGGCAGTTAGTGCTTGGCGGGAGGATTTGCTGCTCACTGGCGCAATATTTTTTCACGGGTCGCTGCTAGCAACCTTCAGTCTTCGCACCAAGGCTTCACTGGGAAGAAGCCGCGAGCTTGGGGGTTGAGCTGTGTGATCGGTACCGCCTTTTGAGGGCGTGTGCATTTTTTTTTGAGGCAACGCTTTTTGAGGGGAAGGGAAATTGAAACTTAGCCCCGTGCGGGGCTCCCTTCTTTGGAGGCACCTCCATTTCAGCAGATCGGAGGGCCAGTCTCAACTTCTTTGTTCCTTTTGCCTATGGTTGACTCTTGGCCGGTTTGGGCAGACCTGAGGGCGAGTAGAATCGCGTCCAACTGCTCCCCCACCCCCTGAAACAAGAAAAATGCAGTTTGGGCGCGTGCGCAATCCAAGCGGCTTGTTGGGCGCCGTTTGCTGCTACGGAGGATGCCGGTTTTGCATGTTGCAAGTAAACTTGCCTTTCTCAACCGCAAAACCATGCTGGATTATGCTGCGTTTATTGGTTTGATTGCTTCCTTGCTTGAGTGTGGGTCAAGAATAGGTACCCCAAAATGAAACCCTTTTTAATGGAAACAAAGAAGAACAGTTGCGGTCCAATTCCTGGTGCATTAATTTTGACCCCCACCCACTCGAAGATTTAGGATCTCCGCCCGTGGGTTTGGGTCCTCTGAGGAGCTACGTGAAGTCGGAGGAAGAGATGCGATCCGACTTCTACACGGCGCTTGATGCCTTCTTCGCCAAGCACCCGGAGTACAAGAGGACGGCGGTATCAATGGGCTTCCTTCCTACTGTGGATGGTTGCGAAATCCAAGCAGTTTCGCACCACCTAAGAAACCCTGGTTTCTGAGGATTCCCCCAACGTAGATACCAACAAACAACGGTTTCAACCATGGTTTCAAAGTGGTGCAGGAGCTCGTCCATCCACAGTATGTTCCCCTCCCTGTGCTGGGCTCAGAACTGTTGTAGAATTTCGGATTGACTTCATACAAAGCAGGCTGGGAACATGTTTTGTGTACCTGAGAGGTGGGCCAAGTGTTGGTGGTTTTCCGCATCACCTTTCTGGCCCCGATTATAAAGTAGGATTTCTGTACGGAACATGATGTTTCAAGAGAACATGGCGTCCTCCTCCCCCCCCCAGCTCATTGCTGAGGGGGTGGGCCTTACCAGGCACGATATGTCTGCCCTTGGGACTTTGGAAGCCTCACGGATCGGTTTTCGCGGCCTGGGTGAATAACAACCTCACGCGACCGAATTCACCCCAAATGGTTTGTGTGGGGAATAGACCCCCCACCTTGTTTCAGGTTGGTGGAATATTACAATTCACCTATAGTGATGCTTGTCTTCGGGGATGCTCACCCAAGGATCGAGGAATTCAGGTAGCAAGAACCCCAAACAGGCAATATGGGGTGAACTTGGTACGGGATCAAAGCTGTGGACAGCATTTTGGTGGGGATCCATGTCCGCCCCGCCAACCACTTTTGAGATGGCTCCGAGACCAGAAATAAATTTAAACCTTGTTGGAATCCGTTTACTCCAAGCTGAAAAGGGCACCCTGTGAACAACTCACCCATATGCCAATTGTTTCATGAGTGGGCGAATGCTTTCTCCGGGACCTATTTTATGTGTGATCAACACTCGTCTCCCATACAGAATTGAACCCAACAACAATGCGAGCTTCGATCAAACGGAAGACAATGGTTGCAAATCGTAGACAGGCCATCCAACCGATCCAACAATCATGCAGAAAGACAGTGGGCCTTGTCAAAGTAGGGGTGTTCTTCCAAAACCCGTTTGTCCTCTTGCGCAATTGTTGAAAAGAGAGCAACTACTCGGCACTCGCGTTTCGTGGTCCGTGCTTGCGCCAGGAACCCCTTATGGGTCACTGGCGAGAGCTATGGTGGCAAGCGCCTCGTCTGGAAACCTCGGGATCGGCGCAGATGCGTCGCCGCGTTTTGCCGACTTTTCGGATGGTCGACGTCGAACACTGCAGGGACAATTGAGCCACAATCAAAACCCGGGTAGATGAAGGTTAGTAAGGGGCAGTCCCAGCCAAAAATAGCTGCGGCCGCCTTCTTAATTCTTTACATGGTTCTGGGAAGACCATTCTAATACCGGTTTTTGATTGTAACTCAATTGGAGGTATTGTTCTGTTTTGTTGTTGTGCTTGTTTTCTGTTTTGCCTTTTGTTTGTTGGGGGGGGGACCACGGTTGGTTGGTTTAAGAAGGGAAAGCAAACGGAAAGCAAGCGTTTTGACGGTCCCTAATGTTGCTACAAACCCAATCTAAACGTCACCGCAGATGCTTTGTCTCCTTCTCCTTAACTATCGACCTTTCAACGCAATTGGAGCTCAGCACCGAGCAACATGATGCATTTGTATGTAAGTTTGCCTCTAAATGCTGGAACCCCAAAATGCTTGGCTTTCCTTTGGTTTCTTTGAAGCCACCCAAAAAGATTGGGCCGAGCCTCCCAAAAACCGCATCCGCACTGAACCCGATCTTGCAAGCGCGTGGCGGAAGCTGAAGCCGCGCCTCTTGCGGAGGTATGTGCCCAACGTGGCCTACGAGATCCAGAAGCGGGGGGAGCTGGCCCTGAAGGGCATCATCATTGGCACCTTCAATCAATGCAGGATTTTGCAGTAGTGCCCTTCTCTCCCCTTTTTGGGGGGAGATTCGGTTCCCCTACTAAAGTAGACAAAAATGAAAAAAGGTACCTTTATTCTAACCTCTCTACTGGAGGACCTAGTCAATGCAGGATCCCAACTGTGGATGGATGAAGTCATTTTTGCACCATCTAAGAAAACCTGGTTTCTGATGAGTACGCAACATAGATACCAACAAACAATGGTTTCAGCCATGGCTTCAAAAGTGGTGCAGGATTTCCTCCGTCCACAGTGCCACGGCTTCTATTTTTTGTTCCAGGCGACTTAAGCAGGGTGGACTGCTGTTTTGGTGGTTTCGAGGCGAACAAAAGGAAACAATCCATTCGGTTCCGCTTTGAGAAACAACCCGTGTCAGTCCAGACATTGGGAAACCCGTTTGCGGGGCTTATGTTGGAACACATTCTCGCATGCATACGTCTGAGCTAGCGATCTCGCATGCACCCAGGAGGGGCCTTTACTAGCCCTTTTTCGAGTGATAGGATAGTCGTGGTGGTTCATTTTGGGATCACAGAAAGAGTGGTTTTCGCCCAAACTTTCTAGGGTGAAGGTGGCAAGAACAACTGCGCAGGAAGGAGCCCGTTTGTCACCCGGGAACTAGTTTGGTTTCGAGGTTTTTGCTTGGGCTTGCCGATGATCCTAGGTGAGACAAGGGTGTCTTTCAAGGGTGTAATGGGGTTGACTCTCTTATTGGAAGGCACTTCCGCGTTGCTCATGGCCTCGTGTTTGACTGACTTGCAGTAGTTGTGCGAGTGTCCTGTTTTGAAAGCAATTGTCGGGTGTGAACCCGAGAGACCACCCGGCACCTCAGGGGCACCAGGTTTCCTAGGTTTTTCTATGAAGGCTGGTTTTAACATCCTTTTCGGCCCAAGGTGAGCTTCCTTTGGTAGGGGTGATGTAAGGCGAAATGCTGGGACTTTTGGGGAACCTGAAACATATTCCTCCCCAGTAGGTGTTCATCCCGTGGGACATGTCGAAAGCCAAGGCAACGGCATATATAGCGGCCGCTTGCAGTACCCGACTGTGGCAGAGGCTTGTCCAAGATGTGCCGATGAAACTTGTGAAGGATACCTTAAAACCACCCGGGGTGCTTCCTTTTCGGGTGCTTCCTTTTCGGGCGTTCACTTTCAAGTGTGTTCCCCTTGGTATCTGGCAGGTTAATAAATGCAGCTGCCAGGACGAGAGATACACAGTCAATTTGGAGATTGTTGGGGATGCTGCCTCTGTCCACAAAGCGTGTTTCCCCAAATTTATAAAGGATGGCTGGAAAGCAAATGGGACGTACAACTGGAGTACCCGCCCTCCCACGGAGCCTGACACGAGGCCCTCGGGATGACCTTCCCCCCCCTTCAGATTTTTGGGAGCACTATCCAGTGTCTGACTTTAAGCCAAAGTCGATGGGGTCAGTACTGACATAGCAAGCTGAGCGGTATGTTGATCCCTTGTAGTGTGATGTGTCACAAGCCTCTCCAAACCCTCAAATCCTCACCCTAGGTTTCTTCCCGCTGGTTTTTCGGCCGAACCAAAACAAGCAGACCCAACACAACTTCTACTCTTTGAGGCTCGAAGTTCGAGGCAACCCTATGCTTCAGGCCTACCGCGCTCCCATGTCCAGTCTTCGCCTTCCAATTCTTTTCACTCAACCAGAGGGCCAAATTCAAAAAGTAAAGACTTGAGCCAAGACGGTCAGGTCGATTTGCTTCGGGCACCCTGCGGCTTTTCCAGTACTTGCCATAAGGACCCGTGAAGCTTGTGATGTGACAATGGGCTTCCCATCTGTGTCTTGAGAACTATCATGCCCTTGCATTGCGAGTGGGGCCCAACGTGCCGTTTGTTTTGAGGATGATGATTACCATCATCAGCATCATCATCATCCGCGCCATCATAAGTATCATCGAATCGTAACATCCTCTGCATCCCCATGTGTGCCTTCATAACTATCCTCGCAGCATCCCTTGCCTTGAGGATGATCATCATGTTCTTCATCGTCAGTCTCATAATGTTCATCATCATGTGTCTTTTTCATCATCATTGTTTTTCATCATGCTATCATCATTTGCGTCATCATGAGTATCATCATCATCATCATCATCATCATCATCATCATCATCATCATCATCATCAGTTTCATCATCATCGTCATCATGTTCATATCATCATGTTCATATCATCATCATCATCATCATCATCATCATCATCATCATCATCACCATCATCATTGTTACCAGTACAGCCGGCGAAGCCGGTGGGCGTAAGTTTCAAAATATAAAAGCTATAGTTATGTGTATCTTTCTTGTCTTGTTTTTATTCTCTTCTTCTTTGTTTTCGCGGTCTCCGTCATTACTATGTATTCCTTTCTTTTGTTCTTTCTTTCTTGCTGTCCTTCATTCCTCCCTTCTTTCCTTCTTTCTGTCTTTCTTCCTTTCGTTTATTCAGTTCTTTAGTTTGTCTCTTATCTATCTATCTATCTATCTATCTAGCTACCAATCTATTATTCTAATCTATCTATCTATATCTATCTATATCTATCTATCTAATCTAATCTAATCTATCTATCTATCTAATAAATTTATCTATCTATCTATCTATCTATCTATCTATCTATCTATTTATCTATCTAATCAATCGATCGATCTAGCTAGCTAGCTATCTATCTATCTATCTATCTATCTATCTATCTATCTATCTATCTATCTATCTATCTATCTAATCTATCTGTCTATCTAATCTATCTAATCTATCTAATATATCTAATCTAACCTACCTATCTATCTATCTATCTATCTATGTCTCTATCTATCTCTGTCTATCTCTATCTATCTATCTAACCTAATCTATCTATCTAATCTAATCTATCTATCTATCTAATCTATCTATCTATGTCTCTATCTATCTCTGTCTATCTCTATCTATCTATCTAATCTTATCTATCTATCTAATCTAATCTGTCTATCTATCTAATCTATCTATCTATCTAATCTATCTATCTGTCTGTCTGTCTGTCTGTCTATCTATCTATTTCTCTATCTGTCTTTCTGTCTTTCTGTCTATCTGTCTATCTGTCTATCTGTGTATCTATCTATGTCTCTACCTATTTATCCATCTATCTCTATGTTTCTCTATCTATCTCTATCCATCTCTGTCTATCTTATCTCTATCTCTATCTATCTCTCTCTCTACCTATCTATCTATCTATCTATCTATCTCTATCTATCTATCTACCTACCTACCTATCTATCTATCTATCTCTCTGTTTCTATCCATCTATCTCTCTATCTGTCTATCTATCTCTCTCTCTCTCTCTTTTTTATCTCTCTCTCTCTTTTTCGATCTATCTATCTGTCTATCTGTCTATCTGTCTATCTGTCTATCTATCAATCTATCAATCTATCTATTTATCTATGTCTCTATCTATCTCTATCTATCTATCTCTCTTTATCTATCTCTCTCTATCTATCTATCTATCTCTCTGTTTACCTTTCTATCTATCCATCTATATCTTCTCTCTTTTTTCCTACCTATCCATCTATTCCCTACCTACCTACCTGCCTACCCTACCTCTCTCTCCACCTATCTATGTTTCTATGTATCTATCTTTCTAGCTGCGCCTTACCTTGCAAAAGTTCTGCGCCTGCCACGAAATCTGTACTTGACCTTGCCAAAGTGGGCCTATGACCATGATGATGATGATGATGATGAGTGTGATGAGAACTATCATCACAGCATCCTCCGCATCGCCAATGCTGCCTAACGGCACACTTGAAACGTATATCTCACAAAAGAAGGATATTATTGAGATGATGATGAGTATGATGATGATAATCATGATGAGTGTGATGATAGCCAAATTGCCCAAGGTGGACAACCCGTTGGGCAGCACTCGGTTTCGGTGACGACCACTCCGCGCCCAGCCCCTGATCGGCGCTTTCGGATGCTAGCAGCGCTAGGCCTTTTTCCGGCCGCTCCGCAGTGACTACAAGCGCTGTCCGGTCAAACCGGCGGCGCCGCGTGACAGAGTGCTACAGTTGGTCCCGAAGACGGAATTTGAAGAGATTACTGGCAACCCTAACTTCGTTTGGCCTACCACCCGGAGACCATTCGCCAAAGCGGCCTCTAGGCAACCTTTCTTGCACAAGATAGGCACCTCGGACTTGCACGTTTCCTACCGAGGTAAGGCAGACAGCGGCCGCTCGGACGTGATCCGCAAGGACACGTTGGTTTGAATTACGACAATATCGTTCCTGATCTTGACGCGCCTGCCGTTTTTGTCCAGCCTCAAGGCGAATTGTGCGAAGCGCCGCAACGACCCGTTCTGCGGCACCACCGAACCAGCTCCATGCTGTTGCACCGGGATCCCGGTACGCCATTACCCTGCAGCCCATTCTTGGGAAGGAAGAAGAGGCATGGATTAGACAGGTAGTTGCCGACTTCTCGCGGACAAACGCACGAAGAAAGAGGACTTGTACCGCACGTAGCACGCGCGGCCAAACGACTGGGCTGGTTTTTGGGCTGCGTCCGTGGTCTCGTAAACCCACAAAGCAAGGACGGAGATCATGACCCACGGAAAGCTTGTGTCCCCCTATTCGATACGGGCGGTCGGCAACTGGTTGATGCCGAGGGCAAGCTTCTGTGGGAACAGGACGTGAAGGGCGAGCGCATCAGGCAGGAAAACCCGCGCTGGCGCAGCATCCTGATACAGTCCACAATCGACCACAGTTGGCGTGGCTCTTACCAAGAGCAGCAGGTCTCCTCTTAAGTTGGGATCTGGCATTGGGTTCGCCAGCAACGATGAGGATGCTGCAATCTTGGAGCGCATGCAAAGTCCTGACAAAACCATTAAGACCAGCCATGTGTCAGGCATGGATTGGTTTCTGGGGGGGCTTGTCTTCACGAGGCAAGTCGTTTCTTCCTCCCGCGCCGTGTCAAACACCTTCCTCTTCAGCTCACCGTGTCAAACACCTTCCTCTTCAGCAGTGACAAGTTGGACCCTGCTCGCAGGTATTTTTGGCAGGACACTTCTTTTCTGCAAAGGGGAAAGAGACTTGTCGGGCCGGAAATGACCTTCCCACGGTCGAGCCACATGTCGATGATAGCTATCATCGTGGCATCCTCTGCGTCACCACATGGCGTCATCATGTTTATCATCCTTTTGGTCAGCATGTTTCATCATTTCATCTTTTTCACCATCCTCATCGTCATTTTCATCATCATCGTGATCATCCTGTTCCTCATCAGTTTTTATCATTCACAGCTACGACCACGACCACGATGATGACGGCGAGGGTGATGATCATCACCATGATGAGGGTGATGATGATGATGATGATGATGATGATGATGGATGATGATGATGATGATGATGATGATGATGATGATAATGATGATGATGACACCCTGCCCATGCGCCTCGCCTTTGCACACAGGGGGTAGGCGATATTTTATATATATATATATAAAAGCTGCGTGTGCCCTGTACAGGTTGGCGGTTCCCACTCATGCAAAGGTTAATATCTGATTTGAGTCATGATTGCTATGGGTAATCTAATGCTTGTTGTGGGGAGGATGCGGAGGGGAACAAAGTAGCAAAATCAAACTGGGGGACAACCCCCTGTGCCCATCTCCCGATTGACAAGCGAGTAATTCTCTCCGCTGCTCGAGTACAACATCTTTGGACCAGAGCCCAACTTTGCAACCTTATCCAAGTGTCTTGAAGAGATGCTTCCTTTGGCCATTTCAATGTTGGGGCCAATATTCCGGATAAAATAAATGGCTCAACCCGGCTTAATCAGCTCGAAACTGAGCAAAGCACAAAGCGAGCCGAGGAGTACGCGTACAACCAGGGCCTCATCGACGACAAAGTCTTCGCCAACGCCACCAGCCAGTTCCAGCACTGCGTGGAGCTCATTGAGGCGATGCGGATGCCGATTGGTGGCCAGGTCTGTTTTGGGCTTCCCGAGAAAAACCCGTCCCCCCTCCAAAAAAGGGGAACCCTCCAAAAACAGCTGACCTTTTGCAAGTATGAGTCAATAAGGAAACCAATTCTCTAAATGACCCATTTTTTGAGCATGGTCTTGTGATTGTTCGTGTGAGGACATTCCAACAGGCTTGACTCCTCGTCCACTCCCTGCACTTTCCGCTCTCTTCCGATTGTAGTACATGGAAAGAGCACACAGACACACACACATACACACACACACACACCTCACTTAGGCCCCCCATGTTGTTCCCCCGTGAGAATCCGACCTTCTCCAACCCCAATTCCATTTGTTTGGACCTCAACTTTGGTTTCGCTTCCAAAATCTGCTGGGTGGCCCAAAGAAACGCCAACCGGATCCGGGTTTCCAATGGCGCCTTGCCAGGCCGGGAAGCTGGTCGAGGCGGAGAAGTATTGTGAGGACGCGGTCGCCCGCAGGAAATTGGAAGGTCTCCGTGTCTTAAAGGGGGCCTTTTTTGGCGGGTTCCATGTGGGTTTGTCCCTTTGAACGAGGGCCCACACAAAAAAAAGGATTGTTTTGGTGTCTCTTTGCTATCCCAAGTGTTTCCTCAGTTCATGTTCTACATGTCTCCATCCCAAGAAAATCATCGAAGACCTTGGGATGGCACTCCAGGCCTGATTCAGTGAGTTGGAGCCAACTCGGAAGGGGAGCCATTGCAGACTAGTGGCGTTTTTGCATGGCCTTGGAAATCATTTCCTGGATCGCGAAAATATTTATATAGCATGCTTCTTGGCAAAGTTTGGTGTTTCTTCCTTCCCCCCTTTCAACCAGCCAATAACTTATTTGGACAATGCTGGCTCAAGAGCCAAGGGTCAGAGTCTTCACTTGGCTCTCCTTGTGCTCTAAGTCAGTGGCTTGTTTCATGCGTCCAGACCAGAGCAAAGCGCCCAGTTTGGTTGGTGTTCCTTCGATTCGCCAAGAAGTGGGATCGCTTTGCGCCTTCGGAGCGCCAAGGTCAGGGACTTGTATGCCTCCAACGCCAGCGCCGGGGGCGTCTTCTACTACGACGTAGGCGTGGTGAATCAAACCGAGAATGACTGTGGCCTACAAGTGGATGGCTACAAGTTTTGTGCTACGGGTTACAACAAGGTTTAGAAACTGTTTTGAAGTCATTCTCATGGTGAGGGCCTAAATGATCAAAATGGGATTCTGGCTGTGGGGCACTTTAGCACCAAATAAACTCATGACCCTAGCCACAAGCATAGAAATGTGGCTTCGTTTTATCATTTCCTCTTACCATGAACATGTAGCATGTGAGTCGGGCGAAAAGCCACCTACCCCTAGGTTTGTATTTTTGAGGCTAACCTTCGTTGAGTTGATTTAACGGGAAACAAAAGGCGCGCCACTCATTTTGGGTGCAGCCGGAGTGCCAACCCCCAGGCTTGCAACGAGCGCTTGGTCCATTCCGAGTTCATTGTATGCAGAACCCTAAAATTGGCAAACTGCTCTCCCCCTCCTGGGTATGTTAAAATAGGGGGACGAAAACATGTGCATTGTCCTTATCTGATGGAAAACGTCAGGAATTTGGAGTGTTTACTGTTGGGGGCTTACCCCATTAGCCGCGATCCCGGTGGAAATCAGGCCTCCAGGACTCTGCATTCTTGGACACAGTGACCGACCAACTGTCCAAGTATCTCAACAGCCCGGAGACCAAAAAGGCCCTCCACGTGGGCAACAGGACGGAGCTTTGATCAACTTGGTACTGGGCTTCTTGAGCTGGTTGCTGTTCTCGAGGGGTCAAATGTTCAAACCGGGGTGTCCCTCTAAGCAAGCTCGAGCTTTCTTGGGCAAGCCACGGACTGCCCTCCGCCATCGCCAGCTCCACCGCCTCCTACGCCATCGCCTTGTTGCTTTTCCTTTGTTTACCGTCCATGCAGCTCGGGCCAGGGCGGAGCAAGTTGTTTTGGTGTCAAGCGTGTAGGTGAAGGTGAGTTCCGCATTCCTGCCATCTTTCCGGGAGACAAACACCGCCAGCACCTATACAGGCGTGTCTCTTCGCTAGGCACGACATGCAGTGTTCTGTGTGTTTTAGACGTGCGCCGAAGCTGGCGCACGCGGTTCAGAACGCGGCAGGACCTGGGGTCAGTCGGACGAGACGGGCCCCGTGGCTGAGGCGCTCTTCGCGGATTTCTGCACGGACCAGGGCACCTTCGCCAAGGTCCACTCTCAAACCCGACCCAAACCCACAGTCAAACACTTTGATCGCTGGCGACTGAAGCGTTTGTGTGTGTTTGTGCCTGGTGTATGTTGGGGCGTGTTGGGGCATGTTGAGCTGGCTGCTGTGAATGTGGAAACACACAACAAGTTGTTTACTTGTTATTGTGACATGATTAACGAACTTTGCACCATTATCAAATGTTACACAACCTTACTGTTTTGACCTGTGCAACAACTATCATTAAATAAATTGAGGATGGACCAGGATGCGCATTCGAAAAATAGCAGAAGGTTCCCGGCGAAAATTCCCCGGGTCTGGAGCAGTTCCCGAACCAACACGGCGGTCCCTAAATATCCTTCTTTGTCAGATTTACACCACGTTTCAGGCCTGTTGAACGTGGAGTGATGTTTGGAGCATCTTCCTCGAGGGACCCTCCTTGGGAGTCTCACAAATCACTCTCTCATTGGTATGTCAAGGGCAGTCAACAGGAAACCAACCATTTCTCTTTCAAGCTTCACGTTTGTTTTCCCCGAAAGCATCTCGCAGTAGCAAGAAGCAGTAGCAAGTAGCACTAGCAGCAGCAGTAACAGATTGCGCTAGCAAGTAGCACTGGCAAGTTGCACTAGGCCTTGCTAGGGCAAGTTGCACAAGGAAGATGCAGGAGAGGTATGTAAAGCGACGGTACACAAGAGGCCTGCTTTAGCAAGCTACAACAGGAAGTTACATGAGAAATTGGCACAGTCTCTCACACTAGACAAAAATCGTTGTTAATCGTCTTCTGAATTCGCGTGTGAAAGAGTCGCAGTTCCTGGGATCTTCTTTGAGATCTTGTTTCTTCATTTGCGGGGTTCAAAAATACGGACCTTAGTCCAAATCATGTTTTTAGCGGGAGCAGGCTGAGGTAGGTGTGCCCCTGTCCGGTGACCAGCCGCGCCGAAATGGCTGAGGTATGCGCATGATTGAGGCCTTGCTGGAAGGAGGCGGGCCAGCACGGAGAGTCCCAGGCTCACAACCCTTGGTGTCCTTTTTGGTTGTTTTGGTCGAAAACTCGATGGCGGTTCCTGGTTTACCTGGTGGTTGAATCATCTACGGCCATCTATTTCTCCGAAAAGGACGCATATGCTTGCAACATTTCACAGCGCCCGAACTTCCCATGCTGCTTTGATGATCGCCATGGCCCACATGAAGTTTCGCCAGACGCAAATGGCAAGCTCAGTTTGGCCGCCTCAATTGGCGTTTCCGGAGGTCTTGCCTTGGAGTGATTGTTGCTCCCGCTTTTCGGATGCATCGCCTTGGGCACCACTTCCTTCGCAGGCTTCAAGGTGGTGACTTACAACGGGGTCCGCGACGGCTCCGTGGCTTGGCCCCGAAATCCACCCAACGCACCGGTTGCGTCCGCTTGCTGACAAGAGTATTGCTGTGTTTCCACTTATGTGGTTTGGATTGGTGGTTTAGACCCCGGCCCATTTTGAAACCAAATAAAGAAGGTACACCCCCACCCCCCAAGCCACAGGCCCCAAACGTCCATTTGCTTGTTGATTGTCCCTTGTTGGTTTCAAAGGGAATCGATTTCACTACTGGACATATTGCCACATGTTTTTCCAGGGAGCGAGAAAGCAGATGGAAGATCAGGATCGATGAAATCCAATAAATGGACGTTTGGGGCCCACCTGGTGCAGGAATTTGTCCATAGTAGGTGGGTGGGTTGCGAAGGAAAATGAGGCTCCATGTTGTGGTGTCTCAGTTCTGGAGTGGGAGGGTGCTCTGAAAAGTGTGGTAAACCTACCCTACGTTCGTTCCAAGGGGACAAAACCCGTCTGTGGTGGAAAAGATCCTCTGCCCCAAAAGTGGCACCCTCGGAAAAAGACGAAGACTGGTGGCCGCCGGTTTCCTTCCCCCGGTGTTCAGTGGCACCCCTTGCTCCCTTGTTTGGTGGCTTCCCCACTCAAACTCAGAATGCTCATCCCCCCCAAAAAACAAAAACAGAGTTCCCTTCCCCACTCAAAATGGTCATCCCCATCCCCCCAAAAAAAAAACCAGGGTCCCTTTTGCTGCCAGGGTGGCTGAAACTGGGCCGCTCAAAAAAACGCCGTTTTTCTCCTGCGCTTTGGTTCGGGCTCGCGGAAGCGCTCGCAGCTGAAGCGTAGGTCTGCAACCACGTGGGGAACCTGAACTCCATGGAGGCGCTGCAGTGGACGGGGGCCCACGCCTTCCGAGCCGCGGGCACCGCGCCCTGGCGCCCCGCCGGCCTCGGCCTCGCAGGCGCGCGCCGCGCCGCGCGCCGCGCGCCGGGCAGACGTGGGGTGAGAATCGGGGGGGATTTTCAGCTAGGTGCCCTTCTCTACCCCTTTGTTTGGGGGGGAGGGTGTTCGTCTACTAAAATAGACTACAGAAAAAACGGGTACCCCAATTCTAGCCTCTCTACTGGAGGACCTAGAGATGCTCCTTTGATTCGGGGGCTTGCCAAGCATGTTCCCTCTTGATGGACTCCAAAAAGTGAGGCGATCCTTTCAACCCCTTCAAGCAAATGGTTGGCCCGGGCTTAGCTTTGCTTCGGTTTGGCTCAAGTGTTGAACGCCTTGCTGTTCACTCGCTGCAAGTCGCCTTGCTGGTTTTTCTTTGATGCAGCCTCCCGATCTATCCCGATCTCAGGAGCAACCATATACCGTGTGTCTCAAAATGTTTTGGGACGCCTCAAAATTGTGTGTTTTTCTTTGGGTCTTCCCTGAACACCCCCAGAACAAGTACCCTCACTTGGCTGCATAGAAACACTTTGCGTGCATCTGGTTGAAGAGGGACTTTTGCAACTCGGTATATCTGAGGGGCCGTTTAAGACCTGGATTGAAATCTCCCGGCCCCATGGGGAAATTGAACCTCGCAAGGTTCAGTTTGCGATATGAAACCCCCACTTTTGCGAAAGATTGTAATTACGCTAGTAGGGAGTAAGTCAGCGCTCAACTTCAAACTGCCGTGACGATGGAGCAAATAGGGAAGAAGACCCACCCTGTGAATTCCCATGATTCCAGCTCGTTGTTTTTCTCAGGGAAATGAGCGAACCCCGCAATGCCCTTTGTTGTCTCAACCACCCAAAACAGAGAGACCCATATTTCGTTGTCATCCGGATCCGTTTTTCCCTTGACCACGCCAGGCTACAAGCGCTCAGCCGGACCTTTGACCTACTACACCCTCCGCAACACCGGCCCCTTGGCCGGGACGGAGAACCCCCCCACGCCTTGTTTGGCCTTGTCTGGCCTTGCTTAGCCTCATTTGGCGCTGATTGACCCCTGAACTGTTGGTGCTCTTTGGGGCGGTGCTTTTTTGTGTGTGGTTCGTGGTGACAACGTACCGCACTAAAGTTCCAGCGTAGGTTTGTTCCGAGGTTCGGGGAAATTCGATATTCCGTTCGTTAGGCAGTGTCTGCAAAAGCAAGCATGTGCAGTAGACCAGTGCAGTTGGGGATTGAGTGACAAGTGAACATCTTGAGTTCTCCGAATCACTTTTTGTCACACCCCCAGCCAGCTCTCCCCGTCTTTTTCCGCCGAATGGGGCTCACTGGTTGCGACTGACTCAAGGGGCCTCCCGGACCTTCGAAGCTCATTCAGAGAGGGAATGTATCCATTTCCAAGTTTTCTTCAAGCGCTGGCCGCTTGTTGCCTCACCTTTTACCTGTCCACATTGAATTTGGGCAACTCCCTCGTGCCGGGAGGAAAGAAAAAGAAAAAAGGACCCCCATTTTTGGGGGACTGAGGGCATTTGGTGCCCATGATCGTGCCCGGTGTCTTGATGGAAGTCCTGAAGGAGACGCTGAGTGCCAACCATTCCGCGACTTTGGTGGTCTGAGCCGACGGTTACAAACCGGCGGGTTGTCTCGGGAACTCGGAGATTTGTGGTTGCGCTGTTGTCGTCCTTCAAGCAAGCACTTTGTATGGTCACCCTCAAAAAGTGTTCCATTCGGTGCCAAATAATTTGCGCACAGCCAGGTGAGGGTTGTTCAAAATGTGTGCGCATGTCGAACTCTTTTGTTGGCGCAGATTCCGCGCGAGTGGCTTGGGCTCGGCTTGGCCCCGCGCGAGCAGGGCAAAAAAAACCGTGCGGGCTGCTGAATTGGGACGACCTCTGGCGCAGGGGGGGGGGGTTCCTTTGAAGTCAAACCACCACAACCAAAGTAGTCTTTGTTAATGTTGAAACGCATGTGGAAACATGAACTGTGTGTGGAATGCTTGACCACAATGGCATGTGCCATTTTGGCTCAAGCATTGTTCTGGGTTCCTGGAACCCAAGCTGATTGAAAAACTTTGATCTTTTGCATTTTCGAACTTAACCCCGACCAAGCAATGGCTTCCTCGGCAACCTCGGCAACTTCCTTTGAGTTGATTGAGGACCAGACACTCACCGTGGAGGAGGTTGAAATGGCCAGCCAGGAGGCCCAGGACATTCGCACACGGGAGGCGGCAGTGGCGGCCGGCCTGGTTTTGGACGAGCCCGAGGCCCCCCCGTCAGCTTCGGCGACCGATGTGATGAAGGACCTCTCCAGTGCACTGGAGCGTCTCCGAGTGGCATTTGCCACACCGACTCCCGGCTTGGGTGCCCCTGGCCCCGCCGAGGAGGGCGACATGGGGGACGCGGACGGCACGGAGCGGGCCACACCACCGGAGGAGGCGCAGACGCCACCCACGAAGAGACTGAAGGGCTTCATGGCGGCTTCTCAGAAGGCTACGTCTCAGGCCAACAAACCTGTCACCTTGGTGCCGGAGACCTGTTTCCAGTCCTTCCAGCGTCGGCGGCCACCTTGCTGAGAGACATCACGGTGGAGGAGGCGGTCTCCCTGTTTCACAAGTTTGTTGGGAAGAACCTCACGGAGGACCTGGTGATCCCCATCTTGGAGGCGTACGTCCCGATGAAGATCCAGCTCCGCCAGGAGGAGGTCTGGGCTTCGCAGTTCCAGAGGAACAAGGCGTGTATCGGCACCCAGCGCATGTACAGGCTCGAGGCGGACGGCATCACCTACAACCTGCTCATCTTGGAGGGCAAGCCGACCTGGATCCAGCAGCGGGAATGGGGAAGCCTGGGTGCCGTTGGCCCCGGTGGTACCCTGGCACAGGCCGACCGCAACTTGGTGGACGGCACGGTCTTGGGGAGAGACCCTCCAAAAACGGACTCGGCGGATGAGATCACCATGGCAGATGCGGTCCCGCTTAACAGGCGGGTGGACATCCGGCAGGAGATCCTGTCCATGGAGGCGGACGACGAGGCGTTGAAGGTCCGGGAAAGCCAGGAGATCAAGGTCAAAGTGCTTCGAGCTCTACCATCCCCAGGTGGACCAGGCGATCAGGAAGAAGGAGGAGCTGCATAAGGCCTTGCGGGAGCAGCGGGAACCGACTCCGGAGGAGGCCTCGGCCAGGCGGCGGCACAAGGAGTTGGTCACTGAGGAGATGCTGGACAACGAGATGGCGATCCTGGCGCCCCTCCAGGAGGGCATGCAGGCCCTGCCGTCAGATGAGGTGGCCAACGAGGGAGCCCGTGCCCTCAGGTACTTGGAGGGGAAGGGCGTTGACGCCAGCCAGGCATTGGCTGAGGCGATGGGCTCCATTCAGGAGGCTCAGGCGGCAAACAAGCGAATCCAGGACACCAACCAGGCATGGATGCTCAACCACACTCTCAAGCCCTTGGAAGTGTCGGCGTGGCCGGATCTCAGGAAGGCCCTGGACAGGCCTATTCTGCCCCCTGTCCAGATGAGGAAGGAGGCGGCGCCCTTCCTGGAGAGCCTGGGCATCCCCAAGCCGCGCAGCAAGGAGGAGTGGAGTTACATCTTCAAGGAGATGGGGACATTCTTGGCGGCAAAGAATTTCATCGTGAACTGCCCGTTGCCCGTGATGGAGATGCCGGTGGCCCCCATCCATGACAGTAAGGAGGCGCTGCGGTTCAGGGCAATTTGCGACGAACGGATCACCCTCCCGCTGGCCTCGCTGAAGGCCTTCGACTCGGTCTACACCAAGTTGGTGGCGGGCCTGAGCAAGTCGTCGATGGTGGAGGTGAAGGTCAATTGGCGCTGCAATGTGGTCCACGACTGGGTCGAGCAGGTCCCGCAGGAGGCGGCGGGGGCCTTGTATGGGTTGGGCTACTCCCAGGAGCTCCCCCCCCTTGGGTGCCGTTGGCCCCGGGGGGGGAGCGGCCAAGGAGGCGGACCCAAAGGCCAAGGTCCTGGGGGGGGCAGACACCACGCTCCGCACCCCAGACCAGGGCAACAGGCGGTACCCGCCCATCACCACGGCCACGGTCACGGGCCAAAAGTACGTCAACAAGCACTTCCCCAAGGAGGCGAAGCATGTGTTTTGGGGCTCCGTGGAGTGTGGCTTGGTCTTGCCAAGCATCAGTGCCTGGAAAGTGGTGAGCAAGGAAAAGTTCAAGACCACGGGGGGCTATATGTGCAGATTTTGCAAGGGCTTCTGGAAGGCGAGCCGCGGGGGGACCAGGCTGCTCCAGATCACGGGGTGGCACAGGGATAAGGCCACCTGCTTGCAGTTGGTGATGGACGAGCCCCCGGAGCAGCTGTACAATCGGTGGAGCCAACGGAGCCTCCAGGGATGAGCGGCTGGTCCTGGGCAACGCGAGCACCGCTTCAGCTCCTCGAACGGCCTGAGGGATGTCTCCACGGCCTTGTGGTCGGTCATCCTGAGCAACCCGGAGAAGTCGGGGCTGGCGGCAATCCACTCGGTGGCGAAGGAGGCGATCCTGAAGGGAGGGAGCCGCCAGGTTTTGTCTCACAACCCTGTCGGATGTGGGAGTCGTGTGATTTCTTCCTCCCGGGACTTGGGTGCCTTTGGCCCCGTCTCCGGGGGGGGAGGGGAAAAGGGTTTTCCTTATTGGGCTCGGTTTTCACCACTGTTTCCTCTCTTATTCCATTCTGGTGGCGCACGTGGGTTCTTCTGGTTGCACGGCAGTGGAGCCACGTCACGGCAGCTTGCTCCTCGACCATGAGGCCACATGCATTAGCTGCCCCAAGGACGGGCCATCTCAGCCACGGTTTGGAAAAAGTGGCTGCGGCCGATGGTTTCCTTGAGGTCCCCTTGGGGTTTTGGGGAATCCCCCGCCTGGTCGGTCTCCCCCCTCCGTGCTTTTGGGGGGTTTCTGGGGGGTTGATTTTGGGTCGCGCTCCCCCCTTTCCCGGTTAAAATGTCGGGACTTTGGGGGGGACTTGTCGGGATGCGTGTGGCCTGCCTGCTCCATCTGCACTCTGCATTCTGCAAGGTTGGAGCATGCATGCATTGTGCCGCGGTTGGGTCCCGGCGGTTCGATAGGAGGCTCGAAACCCCCTTTTTCATCATGGCTAGGGTATCTACCAAGTTTCTTATGCGCCCGCCTTACACACGTCTTTGGGACCGCATTCCAAGGGTCCTATGGGACACGTTGGCGGATGAGTCCTTCTCCCCGAGACAGACGGACGGGGAGCTGTTGGTCCTGATGTGCCTGCGCCAAGGCACTGAGGAGGAGGGGAGGAAGCTGGGCGGAGAGCCGGCAATCCGCTTCTCTCAGCTCCTGGAACTCTCGGGCATTCCGGTAGGACAAGACGCCCACGTGGTCCCGACGGACTACTTCAACGGCCTGGTGGCGTCGGCGGCAGGCAGGCTTCCCCAGCCTCTGTCCGCGGCGGACCTGGCCGACCTGTGGGACAGCATATGGTTCCTCCTCCTGGCGACGGCGGATGGCAAGCCGAGCGAGGACTTTTCCCCGCTGGAGAATGAATGGGACCGCCAGGACCAATTGAGGTGGTTCTCACGAGATGACCCACCCCCACTCCAACAACCGGAGCTTCTGAAGTGGAGGCACTGGCGCCCGGGCAAAATAAGGGAAATGGAGCCCACGACCCAGCGAGCGCTGGAACTCCATATGCGCGGGAAATGGGCGGAACGGCTCCTCGCCCACTTTGCCCCGTTTGCGGAGCACATCGCGTACATGCAGGACATCCTGGGGGAGGACTTCCGCAAGGAGGCATTGGACCTCCTGGGGGACAATAGGTTCCGGACACTCAGGCAACATTGCCTGGTCTACGAGAGTCTCCGGAAGAGAGGCTTCACGGTGATTCCCTGGCAGGAACGACATGTCCGCTCTCTCCTCAACCAGCTCGCCGAAGAGGAGGTCACCCCGTACAAGCTACGGCAGGTGTGGAACACCCTCAAATGGTATTCCAAGACCTTCGGTATGCTGAAGATAGACGAGCTCCATCGCCTCAAGTCCAAGAAGAGCTCGTTGGAAGAGGCACTCACGGACACGGTCACCCGGCCGCAGCGCAAGGCGGTGGTCCCCAGCAAAGAGGTCATATGGGCTCTGGAGGAAGGGGCTGGCTACGATCACCTGGGTGCCACCGGCCCCGGTACGCAGGCGGCCCCGGGGAGGAGCAGACACGAGGTACTGGACGCATTCATCCTGGGTTTCGCCCGGTTCCAAGTAGGGTGCAGCGCTCGTTTCAATGACCTCCAGCATGTTCACCCCAAGGACCTTATCCACACCAGTAACACCGTGGAGCTGAAGGCCTGGCAGACCAAGACGGTCTCAGCAGCACGAATCAACCGCAACCCGGTCCCCTTGATTGCTCCGAAGTACAGCTTCACGGGGATCCCCTGTTTGACTACCTGCATGCCACGGTCCGGCGACTGGTATCCGAGGAGGCATTCCAGGACATGGACTACTTGCTCCCGACAGTGAGCAAAGACTTCGCAGGGCTGATCCCGAGACCTTCCACACCAGAAAGGGCTCTGACATTCCGAGTGTTCATCCCGGACTGCGCTTTCCAGATGGGGATCCCCCGGGAGCGCCGCATGTACTTAGGCAACTGGCTCACA